CGGGGGCACGGCGGGCGCTGTCGCTGTCGCGGGAGCCGTGAGTGCGGGGGTGCGCCGGGTGCCCGTGCCGGGGGGGTCACGCGTGGCGGGAGGGATGCTCGGCGCGGGAAGGAAGGGGGCAGAGCCCCGCTTCCCTCGGGGCAGGGCGGGTGTGGAAATAGAGCCGCACCGGGCGTGTCGGTGCCGTGCCGGGAGGGACATTCCTCCTTCCAGTGCCCTTCCTCATTCCGCTCTCCCGGTGCTGGCAGCAGCTGTGGCCCCTCGGTGCGGGGTCCCTGTCCCCTCCTCTGTGACCCGGGTGCTCTGCTGGGCTGGGGGGTCCCTGACCTCTGGTGGCTGGCGTGGGCAAGGGCGCGGGTTTCCCTTCGGCACAAGGTGCAGTCCCGTTACAGGTCGCACCACCCACGAACTGCCTTGCGCTGGGAGGGCTCGGGAGCCGCTGCTGAGCTCCTTTACAGAGGGGCTTCCTGTTCACCCCGTGTCCCCCCAGGCTGGGGAGCCCCAGAGCTGCTGCAGCAGGGATGTGGGGGGGCACACAGGCACCACATCCCATATAACCTTTTCATCCCCTGCCCTGCCAGAAAATGCCGCCATCCTTGCCTGCCACCATCAACATCCGGGAGCCCCGTTGGGACCAGAGCACCTTCCAGGGCCGGGCCAAGCACTTCTTCATGGTGACCGACCCCCGAAACCTGCTGCTCTCGGGGGCTACCCTGGAGGAAGCCCGACGGGTGGTGGAGGACTACAGGTACCCTCTGGGAGGGTGGGTGTACCCTCAGCACTGCTCCCAGGCAGGAGCCATTCCCAGGAGTGGGAATAGAAGTGATGCTGGCCCCTCTGGCCAAAGCCCCCAGAACTGCCTGGCTGGTCCCTGAGGCATCTCCCAGCTGCCCCAGACAGGTGTGGGGGACCAGCCATGTGTGCTGGCAGAGGTGTTTGAACAGTGTCACCCTTCCCTGCAGGGCAGGCACCGTGCACCCTGGGCTGACAGAGGACCAGCTTTGGCGGGCAAAGTACATCTATGACTCTGCTTTCCACCCTGACACGGGCGAGAAGATGATCCTGGTGGGGCGCATGTCCGCTCAGGTCCCCATGAACATGACCATCACTGGTTGCATGTTGACCTTCTACAGGTACCTGTCCTCTCCTCACCTCCGGACCCAGAGGATGCCTGGAGGATCCTCCTGGCTCTGGGGTGAGGAGGGGACACGTGTCCCGTACCCCACTCGTGCCCGTGCTGTAGGAGCACGGGTGACATCCCTCAGTGTCTCCAGCACCCTCCTCTCTCTGGCAGGACCACACCAGCCGTGCTGTTCTGGCAGTGGGTCAACCAGTCCTTCAATGCCATTGTCAACTACACCAACCGCAGCGGAGATGCACCCATCACCCCCAGGTGAGCATCGCTCTGACCAGGTCCTCAAGGCACCCCAAAACACCAGGGGGTGCCTTGCATAGCAGGGCACTGTGAGATGGGACAGTAGGGACCTGGTGAAGGCAGAGATGGATGCCATTGGGGCTGTCAGGGTTAGTGGTAGAGCTGAGAGAGGAACCCAGATGTCCTGATGCTCTTCCCTGGGATGGGGAGAGCCTGGCTTACTGGTGTCACTCCTGCTCTTTCAGCCAGCTGGGGACAGCCTATGTGAGTGCAACCACGGGGGCAGTTGTCACAGCACTGGGACTCAAATCCCTCACCAAGGTAAGCTTATCCTTCACCATCACAACTGGGGGACGTGGATCCTCCCCATGGGATCGCCCTCAGCCCTGAGCTGAGCAGGGGATTCACCTGGAGTGGGGGAGAAAATGAAGAAAAGGGGTTTGCTGAGGTTGTGCACACAAGGCAACTGCTCTCCCCAGTGATGGCTGTGGAGATGGCCTGTCCCTCCAGCCTTGCTCTGGATGTATCTCCAGGCTTCTTTCACCCCTCAGCCTCCATCCAGGCCTGGCAGGGGACCTGGGTTCCCCCAGACCCTTTGGTCTGTGCAGCTTTTACCAGCTGAGAGTTGCAGGGGAGGAGGGAACGCTTTTCCCCCAGTGGGGCTGGGACACCCCAAGGTCTTGCAGGAAGACGGAGGCAGACCCAGGGACAGCCAGCTCTGCCCCCAGACCCTCTATGTGACGTTCTCCTGCTTTTCCCCCCAGCACTTGCCAGCCATCATCGGCCGGTACGTGCCTTTTGCGGCCGTGGCAGCTGCCAACTGCATCAACATCCCGCTGATGAGGCAGAGGTGAGCCCCTGCGGTGGGACAGGCTTGCCTCAGGTGGGGAATGCAGGGACTTCCTTGCTGATCCTTAGCGTGGGGGGCTGGCTTGAGGGTACAAGCACGTGGTTGCAGCCCAGGGGGTTATTGGTACAGCCCTGTTGAGGACTGCTGCCAAATGTGAATGTGGGTCCAGCTGAGACCCCTCTGATTTATTGTGTGGATGGGGTACAGGAGGATGCCAGCCTTCCTTGGAGACATGTCCCTGTCCTGTGTCCTGATCCCCTCACCATCGTGCCCTGTGGCCCCCTGATCCCCTGTGTCCCTGCAGAGAGCTCAAGCTGGGGATCCCTGTCACGGATGAGAACGGGAACCGCCTGGGTGAATCCACAGCAGCAGCCCAGAAGGCCATTTTCCAGGTGGTGGTGTCCCGCATTGGCATGGCAGCACCAGCTATGGGTGAGTGTCCCTTCCTCCACCTGTGCTGGGAGATGGCAGCTGATCCCTGGCAGCGTGGGATGGGGTCCCACTGCTGGCAGGGGGCTGTGAGCCCTGGAAGCTCATCTCCTTCCTCCCTGCCTCAGCCATTCCGCCGGTGATCATGAACATGCTGGAGAAGAGAGCTTTCCTGAAGGTACCAGTGAACCTGGGATGGGCAGGGGGGCGGAGGGACACCCACCAAGCTTGGCATGTTGTTGGCACCCCTCAGGGCTGGCACCCTGTTGGGGAATAGACACCTTCCTGCCCTGTGCACTGCACTGACACACTTCCTCTCCCTGTCCCTGGCAGCGGTACCCGTACCTGAATGCTCCCCTGCAGGTCAGCCTGGTGGGACTCTGGTAAGTCCTCCTCCACTGATGGGCATCCCTGCCCTGCGTAATGTATGGGACAGTGCTGCTGGGAACCCTGCTTGGCAGTGGGGAAGAACACTGCCCCAAAGTTTCCTGGGAGATGCCAGAGCTTGGCCAGGCTAGTTGCACCCCAGGCAGACGGGATGGGATATAAGGTTCTGGGACCAGGAGTTGTTTTGCTTCATCTTGTTGTCTGTCAAGCCTGCCATGGGCTCCTACTCAGCATTGCTGTTCCCCTACATCATCGGGGGACAGACTTTGCCCCACCTCAGGAGCCGGATGCAGCTTGGAGAGGGCATCTCTGTAGCCCTTTCCTGGCTGAATACCCAGCACAGCTCTGGGCTGCCTCATTGCTGCTCTGGGATCAGGCCATGGGTGGGTGTGGGTGATTTATGCAGCCCAGCTTCACCCTTCCACGTCTTTCCTTTGCAGTTTGGTGTTCGCCACCCCGCTGTGCTGTGCACTCTTCCCACAGAAAAGGTACAGACAAGCACTTTGCCTGCACGTGTGGCTCCTCTGTGGGATGGGGGTGCTCTCTGACTCCCAAAAGATTCTTTTGCTTCTTTGAGCAGTCAGGGGCTTAAACCAGTGCACACACATCTCTGTGCACAGGCAGCAGTGCAGACCCAGGGTCTGTGCTGGGCCATGGGGACAGCATCCCCATGGGGTGCAGCAGGTAATGGGGGTGCTCTCTGACTCCCAAGAGATTCTTTTGCTTCTTTGAGCAGTCAGGGGCTTAAACCAGTGCACACACATCTCTGTGCACAGGCAGCAGTGCAGACCCACGGGTGTGCAGTGGTGGTTTCCAAGCTGAGGCCCCTGGTGGCTATGCCCCTCCATCCTCTGTATCCACGTTTCCTTACAGCTCAATGCCTGTGAGCAGCCTGGAGCCTGAAGTCCAAGATCAGATCCGGAAGAAAGATCCGTGCCTGGAGACTGTCTACTTCAACAAAGGGCTCTGAGCAGCTCCTGGGGGCTGAGATGTGCCCCACGGAGCTGCCAGGCCAGCGCAGTGCTGAGCTTTGCCCTTTGGATCCCCTGGGGCTGCCGCCGCTTTCCCTTGGCCGTTGTGTGTCCATAGGTCCCGGTGCTCAGCCCTGCTTCCCGGGGTGCCTGCAGCACCACACCAAACCCTGTCCCCGTGCCCTGCCCTGGGGACCTCCTGGCTGGCACCCTGGTGCAGCCCTGTAGCTCTGTGCAGTGCACAGGGAAGTGCAGGCAGCAACACCAGGGACCTTGTGAGCTGCGCTGGAGGGAAAAATAAAAGTGAGATGAGGAAGAAAATGGTGCTCCCCAGCTTTAGGAGGCAGTAGAGAATCAGCAATTGAAGGTGGAGTACCTCTGCAGGCACCCTACAGTGCCCAGTGGTTCAGCAGCTGGTGCCTGGGGATGGCAGAGCAGCTTTGGGAGAGGAAAACTCCCCATACCCAAAATAGCTGGGGGTGAGTGATCAATTGCACGTAGTGGTTGGAACCAGAGTGGGGGGCTCTCCCAGCCCAGCCGTGTGCTCCCAGCTCACCTTCTGCTCTCCTCCAGGCTGCTCTGGGGATTTAATCTGGCTTTCTGCTGCTTCCATCCCCAGAGCAAATGGCACATTTTAATCCCAGTAGAGTCTTGTCTTCTATTCTCATTTTAATGCCATCTGCGTTCAGGGCTGGGCTTCCCCTGAGGGGTTACTCTACCCTCTCCTGGAGTGCTTGCTTTCAGGTGGACCTTCTCAAATAGCTTTAAGTGCACTGTGGTTTCCTCTAGATATTTTTGATATACATATAATGTACCTATATATATACCAAACAATAAAGGCAGATTGTTTATACAAAACCAACAGCAAAGAGGAGTGTGCTGCTCGCTAATTTGTACATGGTGAAAGGGACTGCTGTTGGGGTGAGGATGGGAGCAGGAGAGAGGGGCAGGCTGGCTTTTGGGGT